ACCTCTTCCAGCTAAAGAAGTCCCTGAACTGCAAATTACAGTCAGGGCTTTTGGAGAAGCACAAACTTGCTCTCTTCTTACATGTCTACATGGCAAATAGATATGGATATAAGCATCAGATGTTCATTATTTGGGCTGGATAGACCAGATACCTCCTGTCCTGTGCTGTGCAACACGAGTGTAACAGGTATGGCTGTGCTGGCAGGGCTGCAGCCCATGCTGCAGCTGCGGAGTCACCTTCCAATGGGGGGTGAAGAGACCTGCCAGGCCAGCTGGGACAACAGCCTCCAGAGATGTGCTCAAGCCCAGCCTCAATGCAGAAGAATGGTTGAGGTCGTCTTCTGCTGTATCCCTCAGCCTTAGCTTCTGCTTCCTTTCTATCTTTCTCCTGTCCTGGTAGTCTCAGAATTTACAGCCATATTAATCAGAAAATGGAAAGGGGAATAAAGTAGCAGAATTAATAGCCAAACATTTGCTACCGGTTTCTCTTTGTCTATGTTTTAGACATTTTAAAGCAGGGATGAAAGCTGAGGTACTATTTCTCTGTAATGTCTCGCTAAGCAGATTGTGAAAATCATTTGGCACAGAAATCAAGTGACACCTGAGCATATTCTGCACTTCAATAATGCCTTTCAAAGTTATGAAGCAACACGCCTGTGAGTTTGTCCCTGTCATTATTTCCCATTTTAAATATGGGAAACAGAAGTATAGAGAGGTTAAATTACCTGCCCAGAGGTGGAAGACAGCCTGTAACAGAGCTAAAAATAAAAGGCTTTTCTACCTACCCCATATGTTTGTCAAAATTTCATATCTCTCACAACTAATTAATTTAATATTGTCTTTTAAAAGAAAATCCTTGTCATCACCTTCATACTTCCCATGCTAGGCCTAGGAGCCCAGAGTGGATTGTTGTTTGGCACTGAGTTTATTGGCATGTAATTGCTATGCTGTATTGCTCACCAGCAGATATCCCTTACCTGGGGTATTGTCTTCCTGAACGCTTTCAGTAATTCAAATAGAATCTTGAATTCAAGCATTTATGTGGGGGTGTCAAATCATTTTAAAGGGTTATCTAGAGCTTTACTTCTGTGCCAGACATCCCCAAAAGCTGGGCTCAAGGGAATAAGCAGAAAAAAATCTATTTAACCCAGCTGCAATTTCTTTTGCTTTGCAGTTTACCTGGAAACAATGCCAAGAGAAATGAAGATTGTGTTGGATCCCTGCTAGCACCGATAGTGCAAAGGTTGTAACTCCTGGTACTCAGGGAACAGTCAGACAGGCCATTTTTATTATCTCCTTGCCTTGGCATTGTGTTATGGTAGGTAAATGCTGTTTCTCTGTCTTGTCTGTGTCTGCAAGGGAGCTTTCTGGATTAGCATTTCACTGTGGGACACAGATTGAATTGGTGATTTTCTCTAGGCTAGAGTTCCTTCACAGCCAAAGCTGTCCCTCTAATAACAAGCCAGTCCCCTTTCCCTCGACAGAACCTGCAAAGCGAGTGCAGAGTTCCCACTTCAGTAACCTACATTATTCTTTTAATTGCTTACAGACAAAAAGCCCCAGGAGGATGCTGCTTTATTGCTTGCATTTCAGGGTTTTCCACAAAATATCTATATATTTAATAACATTTTCAAAAAGATATTGAATTTTCTTTTAGTAAGGCAGTAACTCCTTATAGCAGGCAGCCAAATGGCTAGTGAGGAAATGCACATTAAACGAACATTTCAATGTTATTAAAAATAATGTGCAGCCTTTGAAAAATGCAGGCCTAATACGATTTTGGAAAACAAATGAGGAGCTCCAATAAATTTACAGCCGTTGAATGCTCCAAGTAGTGATCGTTGCTAACATTTTCGTGCTTTATTTTTAATTGCTGCAGCTAATAATTCTAGCGAGGTAAGAATGACAATGGCTTAGGCGTACCTGTGGCAATAGCGAGGAGAGAACTTTGAATCGGCAGCAGCCCTGCTGGGCACTCGTCCTGCCTCATCTTTCCCAGACGGAGACCCAAGGCGCTGCAGGCCTCCGAGTTCCTCCTCCCTACGGAGCCATGGGGAAAAGGATGCAGAAGGGACCTTTGGGAGTGACAAACCACCGTCAAGAGAAGCTGCCCTTCTCTGACCCTTGGAGATGGGTGCTGCAGCTCGGCTCTGGTGTGCCCAGCGTTAGAACATGCTTGGGACTGTACCAGGAGGGAAAGCAGCTTCGTCTTTAATCCTTGATGCAGAATTAACCCAAAGCAGATTGTTCTCATGAAAGGTAGTGTGGACTTGTTCTTTGATTTAGGGGGCCTGCTGCTGGATTTATTTGGTGTGTGAGTAATTAAAATCTCTAGACTTGCTGATTCAGCCCTAGTTATGACCCTGATTTGATCACTGTGTTGTTCTATTCCTAATCCTTTAGTGAGGTTAGAGCAGGTTAATCTTAGTGAAACGTTTGCTTAATTCTACCCTCGCTCATTTGTTCTCTTAATAAAATCTGCATAAAGAATGGAGAAATAGTAATTCTTTCAGCTTGTTCCAATTACTCTGAGAGCAAAGCTGTTTCAGCTGAAGCAGTTTAAGAGAAACTTGATTGTGTTTCTACAGCTGAGGCTCTGTGCCAACAAAAGATGAGGCACCTTCTCTGCTCTGGACCAGGGTTGATGTATTCATCTGATTTAAATCTGGAACATGTCCCTGCCTGGCTCTTGGAAGCTGAATGATTTTTTTCTCTAGTCTCATGCCTTGCTGCCTGCTCCTGCTCCTCAGTGTTTCTGCCTCTTTTACACCTCTTCTGGACTGCTATTTCTCCCATGGCCCATTAACAAAGTGGAAGAAATGGAATTGAATGTATGGTTGTTCACCATGTCCATCGTGAGATGCAAAAGGTTTTCTCTGTTGTGCCTGTCTCATCAGAAAGGCTTTTTCTGTTGTCTCTGTTTAATCACACTTGGAGTTAAATGCCCATTTGGTGTGATTCAGTATGGTTACCCTTATGATTCTTTGTGATTGGCAGTGAGACATCACATTTTTACAGGCATGGGTGGTCCTGAAAAATAGATATCTATTTCTTCTGTGAAGAAGAGGAAAGGAAAAGATGGGAAAACATATCTAAATGGAAATAAAAGAATCTAAAATTAAATCTGAGCAGGGGGTGTCTGTACGGACTGCAGCCCCTGGCTGTCACAGCAAGCACTCGGCACACATCCCAGTGAGCAAAGAGAGAACTAGAATCATTCTTACTCTCTGCTACAGGCAGCCTCACAGCAGAAATTAAAGCTGCTTTAATTTTATGATACCTTGAGGGGCCAAATCTAATCTGAGCATTACTGTGGTGTTGGGATGACTCACCCACAGAAGTTACCTTTTTGCCTTTTTTTTCCGGCCATGCTTCCAGACCTCACCAGAGGTGAAGCTGAAACACCTGAGCTTGTGCTGGCTTCATTGCACAGGGTGGGGAGTCCCTGGGACTTCAGGGAGATGCTCCATAGATGGGTAAGATGGCTCTTTGGCTAGAAGAGGAGGCCTGGATGAGGTGTACTAACAAAGTAACAAAAGCCTCAAAATAGGCAAGACGACGGCATGAAAAGGTTCAAAGAAGCATGACAATCTGTGGCTTCTGAACAACAGGGAGCTCCAGCAGCAGCGAGCAGAAAACAATACCATATTGGCCGTGGTGCTTTGCTGCCAGGAATGCTGCTTTACAGGCCTCAGGAGAAATCTCTCAAACGTGCTCTGACTTCTGTGCTTGTTTGGCGAGCCAAGTCACAAGTCCCTCACTTTTTACTTATATCATGGCTTGAAGCATTACAGAACGGTGAAAAGAAAATTTAAGCCCTTAGAAGAGAGGGCAGAATTGTATTAAATGGGTTTTGTTTTGAGGGGTAAGGAATCACTCTCCTCCAGCTCCGTGGATAGTAAATGCACTTAATGGAAAAGTAGCAGAAAGTACGTATGACTGGGTCCTTCCCTAAAAAGGCAAGACCTACTTGTGGTATACCCCTGCTCCACATGCCTGTCCCAAACTCTTTCTACTCTCATGCCTTCCTCGTCTCCAAAGAAATGCACAGACAACTGAGACGACCGTAGTCGGAAAGACTTCCAAAGTGGGGCTTGATTTCGGCACTAAATCTCCCCTTGATGGCACACAGTGGCACTGTATTGCCAACAGATTATAGGGTAGCAGCTATTTTCTACGCAGGAGAACACACAAAGGAACCCCCACCAGCCCTAGCTGTGCTCTCAATCAAATAAAAACCCTTTAGCTTCCTCTTGCAGAGCTCTCTCTAGGATTCATGTATATTTTATCAAAGTTACATGCAGTTCTGATACTTGTTTCGAAAGTGCTTTAGTATGAATCCCAAGATGTACTGAAATGCTGCAGTGGCCTTTTTTAAAAAATCAAGGTTAAAGTAGAGAAAAAATGAAATAGCTTGACTCCATAGCATGTAATAAGAGCAAATTCTGCTCAACAGGCTTCTATTGATATAAATAAGCAGAAGAAACAGAAACATACATCTCTATGAAATCATTTCATTCCTTGTAATTGTACCCTGGGAGCTGCAGGAACAAAGAGGAGCTCCGCAGTTTCACCTCTCATAAATGAAGGTCCTGCAATGATCTAAAGCTATTTTTTTGCCAGAAGTGCTTTTACAAGCCAACACAGAAGTCAACATAGAAGAGCTATACCCTCAGTGGTAACCAATTACTGTGAAGATAGTTAATAACAATCTGGAAGAAGGAAAAAAGCAAACAAAAGAAAGCTTGCGTTTGCCAATTTGGTAAAAATTTGTAATGATATTTCAGAAGCAATGAGTAGGTATTTTTTAAGCTGCGTGTCATGACTCCTTTGTCTTTCAGCCACGTGCAAATTTTAGACCAAGAAGGATGGACAGAAAGCATGTTCTGGCTACAGTATAATAAGGCATTTATGCTGAAGTCATCAAGAGCCAGCACAGTGGAGAGGTGATTTGAAAAAAAAAGAATTCATTTTGTGTGTAATAAAGCTTTAGTACTTACAGCTGTCCTCTTCTTCAGTAATACATTTCACAACATAACAGGCATAGATGAAGCCCGCCAGCTGAAACAAAACAACAGTGTTAGATGTAAAGCGAGTACGATAGAAAAACAAGAGTTGGTTTTAGAAAAACAACAACAGAAACAGAAATAACAAAATTCACCAGACGCTGTTTGATGAGGTAATGACAAGTCTTTACAACAGTTGAGTAATGTAATAATAAGCATACTTTCTTATTTTATGTGATTCTTTTGGAGATAGTCAGGAAAATTTTGCATTTTTCTTGAAAAACACATCCTTCAGTAAAAGTTCCAAGAATTGGTAAAATTTTTTCCATCACAGAATTGGCTTCTTTTTTATTATTGAAAACCAGAAAACCAAATGGGTGGTTGAATGGATGCACGTTTAGCCACTGAAAATGTAAATATTTCTATCAAAATCAGATTTGTTATCCAACAAAACCTGACCCTAGCAGAACTGTTTTTTAGCAAAACATTGCCAGCTAAACCAAGGATGAGTTCAGCGCATCTGTAAACTGGCTTTATAGTGATATTTTATCACTTGAAATTAGGGCTTTGGGTTAGTGGGACTTGTTTCTGAGTATGCAATAGCCCCCAAGCCTCAAGATGTATCTAGCACTTTGGCTAGGTCTGGATGTGCTTACATCCGCGTCTCATGCTGCAGCTGGCAAATTCGTGTCTTGTTCCCTTCATTTCTCTCCTCAGAGCATTCCCAGAAGTGAATTGTAGACAGAAGCAACAGGATTTAAAGAAAATGATATTCTGGAGTGGTTCTCAAGGACCATGGCAGATAGCTTATCTTACACTATCACCTGAAAAAACAAAAAAGGGAATAAACGGCCAGTACCACACATGCCGTGGGCCAAGTGTCATGTGAGTCCTCTGCTAGTACTTCCACCAAGTTCTGCTGTCACAGAGAATTTACACTCACACCAGAAGCAACAGAACAAATACTGGAGCAGCAGCATGTGCCACGGTTGCATGCTTTACATGGCTTCCCTTACATGTAGGTCTGGAGAGTTAGCTCTGCTGATTGCCAAGAAACCGTCTTTCATCCTTTAGCTCATCACTGAAGTTTGCATGGGAGGATGTCAAAAGAATTCAGGTGGTTTGATCTTTTTGTAGCGAAAAGTGAGCTGTGCTGTCAAAATTTGTTGTTCTGTACAGGTCACCTCACATAGATCCCTTCGTGAGCTGCAAACCCAGCTGTAGACTTTGGGAAATAGTCCTTTTTACAGATAATAAAAATGCCTAGAGGGTCCAGCCAGGACTGAGCTCTCTGTGTGTGTGTGGTGCAAAACCCAGAATCTCCGGCTGAGGGAGAATGCTGGTCTTAATTTCAGACAAAATAATTAGTGGGTCAGAGAGTAAAAAGGGTGAAATCTGAGAGAAAACCATGTATTGTTATGAATGCTGGTTAGCGCAAACAGATTGCTTTTTTTCATTAATCCAAGGCATAGCTACAAGCACTGCAATATTGTGGGTTTTTAGAGCCCTTAATATGACCCATATACAAGAAATGCAAACAAATCCATTCTGTTCCCTAGTGCCTTCATACCCGAGGCAGTGACCACGCCAAATTTGCTTCAGCTCTTACACAGATACTCCTGGTATTTCTCTCAGTCTTCTATGTAGAAAGCTCTTCATACCTATGAATGCTAGCTTGTAACATCTGTATGGGTGAAAGACAGCTAAAAGAAAAAAAACAAAAAGGCCAGCCCCAAGACTTTTCTGAAGAGATCAGGACTTAATTTGGAGATCACACTGCAGCCAGCGCAGATGTTGTCTGCTAACTGCTGAAGTTCCTGTTGGGAGCCCAGAAGCTGCATTACAACAGAACTAAATCGTTAATTTTGTCATTTATTATAAATCTGCTGTATAGTGCTGCTGGGAAGATTTTACACCTGGGAGGGATGAAATATTCACCACTGGACACAAAGAACGCACTGTACCAAGAACAGTGGCAGTCAGCTAATATCAGCATTTCATCTCTGTTTTATTGTGATCATTCTTTCCTTTGGTTTCTTGGCTTCAAGACATAGGGCTAATTTGCTCCGCTGACTTATGCCCTGCATAACACCATTGACTTCAATGACATTACATGACGTTTAGTTCTGCAACGAATTAGTCCCAGAAAGGTTGTTCATAAATGATTCCATTCTTGGATGTGAACCTTGGCTGAATAGTTTCTCTGTTCTCTTTTCACAAACCATCAGATCCAAGATAGCTGAATAGTTGCATCTCTAGTAGGCGACTGCAATGGTAAAGCTTTTCTTGTAATACAGTTCAATACTTTACTGTTTGCTAAAACACCACAAGTTCACATGTTATTAACCACATTTCTCTCACAAAGCACAGCAAACAAACTGTATCACAAACTGTGCTTACAACTGATCATTTAACTGTCTTCAGTTGCATCCCTTAAATGTCTAGGGAACTCCTTTGATATTTAAGTAAATCCTGCAGCATTTCAACAGATGAGCTTGCTGATTAAAAGAGTGCCTTAAAGGTAGAAATTGAACTGTTCTAAATACAAATGGAAGTTTGTTTCCCATGAGATAGAGTTCATACAATAAACCTCCCCTGCTCCCACATTTATCCAACCCTTTGGTTGGTAGACATAATAATTTTGTTTTAATTTGAACATCAGCTCAGTTTGTTTTTTTTTTTTTTTCTCTTTTTTAACCAAGCAATTTACCAGTTCTGATCCAGTGATAGCCATTCAAGATTTATCTTCTGATTGCATCAGCAGCAGGGGGCACACACTTAGAGCTGAGTGTGGCAGTTTTCACTGTGAGGATGCTCAATGGCCTGAGCCCACGGTGACTATAGAGGCCTCTGGGCTGGAGACCAGGGACACGCTTCCTCCCTGCTGGACTCAGCCTTCCTGTAGGTAGGGTGAAGCTCATCCATGAGTGTAGTAGATCTTTCTTGGGGACCAGTCAGCTAATTAACATTAGTTAATGAATTCCCACATGGATGAAGGGCTCACTCAAAATTTACCACCTTTGTTATAGCTCACGATGTGTTTCTTTTATCTTGTTTCTCCAAGAAAAACACACTGCAATGTACCTATGTACAGCACAAAATAAATGAAATAAATTCCAAAAAAACCACTCCACTGAACACACTCTTCCTCCCTGGAGAAGGAGATGAGAGAAAAAAAAAAGCTAACCCAAATCACAGAGGTTAGTCACATCACTTAACATGTTCCTGGGAAGCCCTGAAACACAGCAGTGCTGAGCGCAGTATGAAAATTCCACAGAACAGAGTCTTCCTGATTCAGTATCTCAGAATGATTTTTCTCTTATGTGAGAAGGAAGGGAACAACTCCTTGGAGATAAAGAAGAGAAGGAACCTGACTGTCTCAGAAAATCAGTTTAAACCTAGGAAAGGTAGCTTGGAAACTCTTGTCTCTTTGCATCCTCCCCCCCACCTTTTTTTTTTTTTTAATTAACCAAGCTTTCTTTTATAAACCATATAGTAATAAAAAGAAATAGGTGCAATGAATAGAATATTAGGTCTGGATCCCAGACCCATCCAGATTAGGTGTCTACATCTGTCCTGTTCACATCTTAATGCTGTAGTACAGGCCTCCAGAGGAGTAGCAACCTTTAACAACACTCCTGCTCATTTATTCATATAGTGATTCGTGAATGCAGGTTGTTATGAACCTCATTTTCTGCAGCTTGAAAAAATCTGCTCTTTACAACTTTCCCTGATACATCCATATGGGAGCATAAGTCAAGACTCCTCTTTCTAAAAGTGACACATTGCCCCTTCCTCCCTGGGTGTTACTTTGATGGCACCTGATAACCATTTTTGTATACAATGATCTCAAACACTTTAAATTCTAGTTAGGTTTTTCTGAATTATAAACACCTTGATAAAACCGTCATTCATTCTGCCAAGTTATAAATGAAGACAAGCAAAAACCTAAAATACATCAGCAGTATAACAGCACTACTGAAGGTTTGGCAATGAGATTAAGTACGGCATTATGTTAATGCATTTTATTGCTTTATTGTGGCCATATAAGGCAACCAAACAAGTTGACAGAATATTCCCTACCCAAGTCAGCAGTGTCCTGTTACACTGCTAGAGGCTTTTAGCAGATCCTGAGTTTTCTGTGAGTGTGCTTTCAGACTTGCTCAAAATGTCAAGTGCTGTGATCAAACTTTATCAGAATAGGTATTGATCAAAATTCTGTCTCGCTATTTTTTCTCACTTCTTTTATAGAGATGAATGTTTTCATACACTGAAATAACACCAGATTTTGGAAAAGGCTATTATATGAAAACCCATAATTCCCGGTCAAGGCCCACACCTTTCCCTCTTTTAAAGCTGTATCTATACAGATATCTATTAGGAATTATCTTTATTAAGCCAGACGCCTGAAACAAATGAATGACAGCAAGGAAGAAACAAAAACTAAAAGTGGGTAAGATCAGAGTGATAAGGCGATGAGGAGAAGGCTCAAGATGAAGATGAATGAGTTAAGGGTTATGGAAATATTACGTGGTCTTGGCTTCACTGAAAGAGTATGTTTTTTTTTACAACTGTTCTTTGTCAGGAGAAAAGGGCTTTAGACTAAAAAAACCACAAAACCATTGTGTTTTCCTATGGAAAGATCACAGAATAATAGAATGGTAAGGGTTTCAAGAGACCTTTAAGATCATCTAGTTCCAAGCCCCCTGTCATGAGAAGGGACATCCTTCACTAGACCAGGTTGCTCAGAGCTCCATCCAACCTGGCCTTGGACACTTCCAGGGAGGGGGGAGCCACAGCTTCTCTGGGCAACCTGTTCCAGTGTTTCACCATCCTCATGGTGAAGAATTTCTTCCTAAGACGTTACAATGCCTTCTGAAACAGCTGGGGCTTGTGTGTTTACTTTCCTTTATTAAGTTTTTGCAGGATTCTACAAATACCGTGGTTTTAAGACCTAAGCAAAAATGGGCTAGTTCAAGCAATAATAGAACAGAATTACATGTAGGTTAATTTTGGCCCTGGGAGCTTTATATTACAAAGCTGTGATGTTATATG